GCACCCACACACACACACACACGCACACACCTACACACACACACAAAAGGCACCACCATTCAGCAATCCGGCGACCCGAAGGCAACAGCGCCACACCGTGACTCTCACAGGAGCGGAACCTCTGTCCACTGCGATTTACACCCTCGCGTTCGGGGACTTCGAGCGGGGTTAAAGTTACACCCGGAGACACCCCCCCCCCCACCATCGACCGGAGGAGAGGGGGGAGGAGGGGGAGGGAATGCTTCGTGGATCGAGACGCGATTTGGCTGAAGGTATGTCCCTGGTATCATCCCCCCCTCTCTCTTTCTCTTTCTTTCTTTCTTTTCTTCTTCTCTCTCTTCTCTCTCCCCAACTTGAGTAAGTGTTCATGGCCCGACCAGTGAATTATTCTCTGGCCCATAAGTTCAGGACCGCTGCCTTTTCATGCAAACCCTACCCCCTCCCCAACCTTCCCCCTCTCCCCCCTTACCCTTACCCCTCACTTTCCTTTACCACTTGTTCCCTTCTCCCATCATTCTACCTTTCTCCACTGTCCTTCATTCCTCCCTTCGCTTTCTCCATTCCCCGTCCGCCCCACGTCTTCCCCTTCCCCACCATCCCCATTCCCCCTCGCTACCCCTTTCCCCTTGGCTTTCCCTTACCTTCTCCTATCCCTTTCCTTTTCCTTTCGCCACCACTCTCCTTTCTCTCCCTTTCCCTTTCCCTTCCTCCACCACTCTCCTCCCCCCCCCCCACCACCTCCCCTTATTTCCTTCTTTCCCTTCCCTCATCCCTTTCTCTTCCCTTCCCTCTCCCTTCCTCTTCCCTCCCCCCTCCCTCCCCCCTCGCCTCCCTCCCTCCCTCCCTCCCTCCTCCTCCCTCCTCCCTCCTCCCTCGCTCCCTCCCTCCCGCTCCCTCCTCCCTCCCTCCCTCCCTCGATCTCGCCGACCCAGCATCCTCCTGTCCCTTATCTCACGCTCCCCGGTGTCTTTCTCGGTCTTGCGCGCTCGATTCCATCCTTTCTTATCTCGCTCTTCTTCGCATTCGCCGAGGAGACCCTTCGTGCGGACTGGCCTGTCCCTCTCCATCTTTCTCTTCCTCTTTTCTCTTTTCTTGCTCCTCCTCCTCTTTCCGCCTCCTCATTTAAAAAAAATATATATATTTTCCCGTCTTTTCTTCTTCCTCCTTCTCTAACCCCTTCCTTCTTCTTCTTCTTCTTCCTCTTGCGCTTCCCTCTTCCGTCTCCCAAAAGCCCCTCCCCCCTCCTCAGTATCACTCTCTGCCCTCTTTCCCCTCTTCATGAAGCTCCCAGGGACCCTCACTCCCTAAGAACACCGCCTCCGCGCCCGTGTCCGCCTCCGCAGACGTCCACCCGTCAAGGAGGAGGAGGAGGAGGAGGAGGGAGGGAGGAGGAGGGAGGAGGAGGAGGAGGAGGAGGAGAGGAGGAGGAGGGGAGGAGGAGGGAGGAGGAGGAGGAGAATAAATAATAAATAATAATAATAATAATAATAATAATAATAATAATAATAATAATAATAATAAGAAGAAGAAGAAGAAAAGAAGAAGAAGAAGAAGAAGAAAGAAGAAGAAGAAAGAAGAAAAAAAGTGAAGAAGAAAGAAAAGTAAAAGAAGAAGCAAAATCCTCCGTATTCGCGAGGGAAACCCCTCCCCCCGGCCGTCCCTACAGACCCGCCCCTTGTTCCCTGAAGTGTGTCAGGGTCCGAGCCGCAGATTCCGCGCCCGAGAGCCCTCCTCCCCGCCACTCGCGCTCCTTTCCGATAAACTGCATTAAAAGCGGCCAAAACAAAATGGGGATTTCGTTCTTTTTCTTTCGTTCTTTTCTCTTCCCTCCATTACCGTGCGTTTACGAGGCGAGATAAAGCAGAATTACGCAACAAAAAAAAGGGGGGGATGGGGGATGGGGGAGGGGGAGGGAAGGAGGGAAGGAGGGAGGGAGGGGAAAAAAGGTAAGAAGAAAAAGATATAAAAGTGGTCACCCAGAGAGAAAATCAACTGGATTCCATAATCCTTGATTTTCTCCCTCCCTCCCTCTCTCTTCTTTGTCTGTCTGTCTGTCTCACTCACACACTCACACACGTCACACACACACACA